GAGTGTTTCTTCTCGCCAAAGGTAGTTTTTAGAAATATTTTTAATTCATCCCAACTATTAAAGGTTTTTAATGAGCACGCGATTTGGGCTTTTCCCTCTAACTGGGATATACCGATATAAAACTGATTGCTGTTCTGAGTTCGCGAGTGCTATGGCGTTATCACAATTTGTAGGAAATGCTAGAAGTGATTCTTTATCGCCATTATAAGGTTTGATAAATTTTGTAAGGACGGATAAGGGAATTTTGTCAGACATTTCTACTTCTTCTTTTTTTTAAAAAAAAAAGAATATTAACAAAGCTATAAACATTACTAATATTCCCCTTAACCACTCGTGGTAAGCTAAAATTGCTTGTGTTACGAGTGGTTCACGCCAGTAGTCGAATGGCGGATTCGAACCCACGACCTTTTTGAGTTCGCGGTCCGCGCCCTGCCATTCAGCTACTGTCGCTTTACTAATTTGTCCTTTAAAGTTTTAACCTTATGCATGTGGAATTAAAAAGGTTTGGGAGTTATGAAACACAAAATTGGTAAAATGAGAATATTATAGTCCACAATAAATGACGAAAAAATTAAAAGAAATAGAATAAAATTAGAATAAAATTATCGCTAAATTAAAGTTAACTTACAATATCACGAACACTACGGTGAACATTGGTTGCTATGCCGGTGTCGTGTTGCGATGACGTGCAGCGGAGTCGCGTTGCCGTGAGACCCAGGAAGTCGTTTGACGGCGGCGTCCACGTGGTTGTGCGGTGGGAGTGCAGCAGCTCAGGGCAGGCTCACACACTGGTGGTGTAGACTGACAGCCTTGATGAACTTCAGGTTGACGATGGTGTACCAAGCTCGTAGGGCTGAGACCTTGTTGGTGGTTCGATGATGCAGGCTCACACTCGTCGGGTGGAGACTAACTGTCGATCTTTCTTCAGAGTTTCCCAGGATTCGGATGCCACGCTACCGATGTACCAGTAGACCTTGTGACATCCCACTTCTGACACCAAATTTGTTAGGAGGGCCGCTGTTTTTTTAAAAAAAACTTTTACACCTAATCCCGGAAGTTCTTTTTTTTATTTCACCAATATTAAAATAATACAAAAAATGTACAAAAGCCGCGAACGGCGTGTGCGATATGCACTTAATATGGGTTGGGGCTGCACTGCCTCGATTACTTCAAACTCTAGGCTTTTATACTAAATATAATAATCGAATAATTTTAACTAACTAGAGTTGGACATAACAGTACGGTGCGGCTGTAATGTGCGAGGTTTCATATGATTTTGTAGAAGGAATTCTAAAATGTGGCGCGTAGGGTGCGGTCAAAGCTGAACGCACATTTGTCTCACCGTACGCATTTTCGAATGGCCTCGCACATTTATACGTACGCACCGTACGCAATTCTTTTGTATTACCAACAACTTTTACAGTTTCTTCCAACTACTGGTGTGAAATAATACAATGACATTGATCGCTCAGGTCGCTATGGAAAAAAAATGTTGCAATAGCCTACTTATTGGCAGAGGAAGAAGAACATAAAATTCGAAAAAATTCATGATATTAATTCAAAGAGGCAGTTGTTTGGAAAATATTATACTTTATTTAAAGACTTATTAGATTATGAACGATTTTTCAGATATTTGCATTTAACATACAAGAAATAATACAAGAAATATTGTTTGTTAGAGGACCAAACAACAAATACGAATATAAGGAATTTGAGAAGAAAAAAAAAAACAAATTAGATGTAGCCGGGTTCACACCAGACGATCCAACGCGTCCCAGTCGCGCCCAGCAGGAACGCGCTCCACAGGCGCGGTTGGTGGGGAAATCCAAGCTGTAAATTTTCGAACATGCTATCTTGCAGGGTTGGTGATATTTGCGAGTGGATCACGCGATATAAAAATTCCTTTATAAGAAGTATAAATGCTCATGGGACCCTTATAACACCAATTTCACAAATAAATGTGTTAGAAACGATGCCTGGCGACAAATTAGTCGTGAAATGGATTACCCAGTTGAGACATTAAAGATAAGATTAGATCTTTGTCGGGAACCTAACGGTTTTCGTGATTTTTGTCGTATATATTTTAACCTCTCAAACACCATGCGGCCAAATTTGACCGCTTCGATATTCCGTCAAAATTCAAACGGTAAAGTATGACCGCACCCACCCACAGCACTTTAACCCATAAAACTTATATTTAGAGACTACTTTTCTATGAGAAGTTTAGCATTATAGAGTCAGTATGAAATTTTCTATCCTCTAGTGGAATAAAATAAAAGTTAGTCTATGGCTATTAATTGTTATATTCTACGTTCATTACGTACGCCATTTTCATTTGGATGTTGTTCTGTTGATTTTTTTAGTGTTTTATTAGTGTTTCACTATAGTGTTTTATTATAAAATTGTTATAAAAGTTTTTGTGTGATTATAATTTATCTTCTTAAGTAAATAATTTCGATTAATATATAGAAATAATTGTGATTTTTACGCTGCCGACATCCACTTGGTATATTTTTTTGTTATTAAAATACAGTAATTTTTTTTGTAATGAAGTAAAACCTGCATTTTGTTTAGACCACAAGATAGATAATTACCGCCTCGGGATTTGCCAGGCGCATGCGACTGCATGGAAATTTTATGGGGATTGAAGGGTTAATATAGGTTGTTGCTGCCATGGCAATTTGTCGCCGTTGCTGCACGTATAACTCTGTAGCGAGAGTTCAGCTGACTGAATCAGGGTGAATGAACTGGAGCGTGTTGAAATAGCCTGACAGAATCGTACCCAGATCAGAAAACTATGATCCATGATCAGTGCTTCACGATCGTAGATCGCGGCTATTATCTCAATACGATCCACTGGCGGAGAATACTAGCATCGCAATTCAGAAAAGGATTCATTTGTGCCACGCCATCTATAACATTTTTGTCAGGAAACATATTTCTTTTAGTTAAAGGAAAAGGTATTATTTTTTGTATACTAAACAAACTAACAAAAAACTCAAAAACTTTTAAGTATACATATATTTTAGAACGTAATTTTACACACAAATAGTTTAATCACTATTTCTGAGATTTCACGACGCCGTTGAATTAATTCGAACTTATTTTTTGATAATATCATATATTTAGATACAATTAACCGATTTTAATAAAACAAAGGTTAAATGTAACGCGAACACACGCTTTTTGATTTTCTTAAAGATTTCATTGAAAAAAAAAATGTTTACTTGATAGGTACGTACGTAATGAGTTCATAAAGAAACAGACAAACAGACATACAATTTTAAGACTATAAAAATGTTCTTATTTACTTCTTTTCGGTTTCCTTAATGATTTTTGTCACAAATACAATATGCAATATATAGACATAGGTAATCATATTTATTATAGGTATAAATTTAAGGAGAGACGGCTCTGTTAACATCAATTCAAAAAAAAGAGAAAATTTTCGATGTCATTGATACATTATATAAAATACACCAGAACTTTTAAATGCATGCATGACAAATCACTAATACAGTAGCATAGGCAAAGAAGAAAGTTCGATCCTAGCCGAAACCAACGTAATTGTTAGTACATCTTTTAAAATTTCATAGGTTACTTAGCGGTAAAGAAAAATATTTTGAGCAGACCTTCTTATTCAAAATTTTATATATAAATTAGTTTGTCAACACGTAGTAGAGCAGCGAGTATTATAATAATCAGCAGCAAATATGAAGACACATCTACAAGAAAAAAAAACACAACGTGCCTTTATGTATTACATTTGAACAACAGCACCATCCATTGATAATATTGGTTAACTATTGTAATTTATATACTAAGATTAATTACGTTTTTTGTTTATATTTATTACCTTATTCCTCCTTATTTTTGTTTACTGCGTTTCAGATATAATTATATCGTTATGGCAAACTATTTTACATGATTTAACTATAATATATGTTATAATATTAAAATGCACTCGATGACACAACGATGCTATTGAACATACTTCATAATACTAGTATATATAATAACTTTTGATAGAATGAACCGATTTTAATAAAACAAAGACCAAATTTAACACAAAGATACACTTTATAATTTCCTTATACATTATTTCGATATAAATTAGTACTTTATACGTGATACGTTAACAGACAAACAGACAGACAATTCTAAAAGTGGTAGAAATATATTTATTTACTTATTTTTAGTTCCCCCCCCCCAATCACTTTTAATACAAAGATATTAAATAAACAGATGTGTGCAATTTACATTTTATTTATTTATGTATATTAGTTGTTACATGTATGTATTGAAATGGTATAAAACACATATATGAGGACGAAACCTATAAACCCCAAATTAAAAAAAAAATATTATTTTTTAATTATTAGAATTTGGTAACATCTATAAATACTCTAGTATGGGATCCGCCTTCCATTTATACGCATTTTCACTACTGATGACTTAGTTGGGATTTTATAGGCATTTTCACTGGTAATGACTGATGTTGAATTTTATACATTAAACGAATATTTACTAGGCGGTAAGACTTTTTTCCGCATAGTAGTCCTCAGACGAATTATTTACCACTCCTACCAATTTCTGCCGCCAGTTCTAACTGAGGGTAATTTGATATAATTAAAGCATCTTTTTAATTTTAGTATCCGAAATCTGAAGATACTAAATCTTTTAAGAGATCAATGAAGTAGGTTTGCTGCTCTATGGGACCGCTTTCTGGAAAGTCCTAATAAATGAACTCCCACGATGTTTTTCCTTTCTTAGAATAGTGATAATTGTAATTTATTTTAATTTTAATTTTAATTTTTTAACAAAAAACCTCCATAAACTTATTTAGGACCGACCCGTGATTCAAACCTGTCGAGCGTGGTGTTTCACCGACCCATCGAGCTGTGAGAATTCGGGAATTTTGTTATATCAACTAACATATTAAATCCTAGTCCTAGTTTATAAAGAAAAAACTAAAAAATCATTATACAAATCAAAAATTACTACAATTGTTTTTCTTTTACATATTTAGAAGCATACGATATTGAATATTTAATGAGAAAAGTTATCAATCCTATAATTATCAAAATACTAGATAGAAGTATAAGGACAAGCTCTATTTCATAGTATTCAATCCATGACATATTTGCAGCTGGTGATCGCAAGTGTTTAGCTCCGCCGTGTCGAAGTACGTATTCTATCCACCATATAGCACGATCCAGGGGCGCCTGCGGTTGATCTTGCATATAGGAGCGAAGTCGTATGATGTTTTCACGATAACTAAAAATGGGAGTTTTGAAAGAAATGTTTACATGGTAGTGCAATGTCTTCTTTTGCTTTGGAGTGTATTTGGATAATAACTGTCTTCTTATCAATAGTATAACTGCCATCAAAAAAGTAGAGCACCCATTTTGTTACATCATTTAGATCTCATTAGATTAAGTACTGTTACATGTTATAAAGTATTTTATCATATCCCTCAGAATTGGTAACGCATTTATATCCTATCCATTTTTATTGGGAATTTGTTGCAGACTTGCAAGTTCCTACAATTTTTAGTAACCCGTTCTCATTTCATAGGGACGTCCATATCAAATAATGTTGGGCACACTTCGGCTATGAAAATTTCATACACAATCAAAATCGCTCATTGCTAGATTGGATGATTAGCATGCTCTTCCCGGTAGACATTGAAATCCCCAAATAATATGAGGACTGTTAAGTCGAATCCATGTCTGTAAAGATAGTTCAGGGGCTCAAGGCTGCCTCGTATTGGCTAAGTAGCCTCGTAAAGGAGCCTATGGAGTTGCGAAAATTGGTGCTTCCCCGTTAAAACTCTGGATACCACTATGGGGATTTACTCGATAGGAATAGCAGTCGGGAGGTGTTCGGTTGTTCATCGGCGGTAGTCACTTATCATCAGGCGAGCCACATGTTTATTTTCCCTTCCTATTTTAAAGAGAAGTTTGAAGACATTTAAAGTCCACCATATGAGAGTATATAACTAGAACAGAGCGAGGCGGACACATTGCTCCATAACCCTTATAGGAATGAGTGGAGGTCTGTGGTTATAAGTGGGACGTAAATAGACTGGAACTTAATTTAACTTTTTTGAACGGTGTTCTAATATTTTAACTGCAAAATTACGTTTGTTTGTATGAGGTATGCAGTATATAAAAATTTTAATATTAACAAAAAGATAGTTCTTACCTTTTATCTTCAATTATTTCTATGATTGCATTTTTCAATTGATTTTCAGTAAGGTTTTCTAATAAAAGCTTGATACCAATTTTATGATGAACATATTTTTCTACATTATACCACTGGTCTCCTAACATTGGTATGCCTATAAGTGGTACACCAGCAGTGATCGACTCGTCTGTCGATTGTAAACCTCCTTGAGTTATAAATAATTTCACATTTGGATGTCCTGAAAAGCAGAGAGCAATTGTATTCTGTGGTTAATTGTATTACGATTTTCAAATTTCTTCCACGTTTATCCTTTTATTAAAATAAATTTAATTATCATCGTCATTATCATCAACCTGCGGCAGTCCACTGCTGGACATAGGCCTCTCCCAAAGCGCGCCACTTAGCCCAATCTTCGGGTACACGCAACAAGTTTCTACTTTTGTCTTCAGACTTTGCGGTAAGGGTGACGAGAAAATCCGACGGAGCTTTCTTAATACTGCCCAGCCTAACTGAATCCTGCGATCGGCTTACTTCTCGAAGTTATTCTTACCTAGTTGCTATATCTACCTGAGGTAGGTATATTCCTGGACAACTTCGAGAATTTCACCATCAACAGTAATTGGAACTGGCATGACGTGATCGTTGAACATAACTTTTGTCTTGTTCAGATTCATGCACAGACCAATACGTTGGGAGGATTAATTTAGTCCGTTCAGCATGTCCTGAAGTTCCTACAGCAATTCTGCCACGACGAAGATATCATCAACAAAACGTAAGTGTGAGATGTACTCACCATTTACGTTAATGCCGCGTCCTTTCCAGTCTAGCTTCTTAAAAACATTTTACAGTGCATTTGTAAACCGTTTAGGGGATATAACATCTCCCTCTCTTACTTCGCGATGAAACTGGATTGGTTTTGTTTGACTATCCTGTACTTGGAAGGACATCGTACTGGTGTTGTAAAGGCATCTCAGGACTTCGATATACCGCCAGTCAATTTGGCACAGCTGCAAAGAATCCAGAACAGCTTAAGTTTCAATGGAGTCAAAGGCTTTCTCATGGTCCACAAATGCAAGACACAAGGGCTGATTATACTCTGTTGTCTTCTGTATTATTTGTCGCACTGTGTGAATGTGGTCTATAGTGCCAAATCCTCCTCGAGATCCAGCCTGTTCCACAGGCTGAAAGTCGTCGAGTCGATTTGTGATGACCCTCGAAAAAAACTTGTAGACGTGGCTCAGAAGCGAGATGGGATGGGATTTGATAGAATCGTAGACTTCATCAATCGAGACCTTTCAAGCGTAAAATTGATATTACGAGTGCATCGAAAAAGTCGGTGATTACTTCCGGTATTAAATTTGTTGATCACTGAGACATCTCTGAATAAGTGCGTTTAGTCTATCATGATGAAGTCAATCTTTGTACCCTGTGATTTCTGCTTCCAAAACCGTGGAGTCCTAAAATCGATACGACGCCAGTGTGTTTACCCACTTTGGGTTTAAAATTCTCCATAACAACATTGTGGTAGCCCTTAGTGGTGTTACGTAAGGTCCTAGAAATGTCTTCATAAATAGTTTCAACTTCATCATCCGCTGAATGTGCCGATTCCGGGGCATACATTTGTACGATCTTTATATCTCAGTATCTCTTCGATAACTTAAGTACGCCGTGTAGTGGTGGTTGAGAATATCCACTACCCCATATCTTCCCGTGGGTGTCGTAAGAGGCGACAGAGGGAGAAAGGCAGGAGATGGGCAGCAGCATCTTCCTGATAACAACTGTGTTATAATAAAAAACTGCGGTTGCCAACCCGCTCGCCAAGCGTGGCAACTATGGCAAATATCCCCCCATGAATAATGACGCAAAAAAAACGGCCCCCAGTCCCCGGCGGCCCCGCTATTCCTGGATACGGTGGCGCCCATGGTAACGGCGGGGCAGGGGGTGCTAAGAATCTCCGGTGGAGGTTCGGTTGCCACCTACGAAATATAAGAGAAGATACTGAGCTGGAAGAAGAGGTAGACAAGTTCTGGCATATTGTGGGGGGGGGATGTGGGGGAGGGTCGGGGTGTGATCGTCCACAAGTCTCTCGTCAACAACGTTGTAAAGATTGGGAGTGTGTCGACGAGGGTCGCGTACCTGATACTCAGAATCACCAAACGGTATTCGCTGAAGGTCATACAGGTTTACGCACCAACCTCGGCACATCCCGATGAGGAGGTGGAGGAAATGTATGAGGATATTTCCAGAGCCATGCATTCCTCCAAAACCCACTACACGGTGTTGATGGGAGACTTCAACGCAAAACTGGGCACAAGAGAAAGCGGTGAGCTGAGGGTGGGGAAATTTGGAGTAGGGCAACGGAACCGAAGGGGCCAGCAGCTGACCGACTTTATGGAGAAAGAGGGACTCTTTATGATGAAATCTTTCTTCCAGAAGCGGCCCCACAGGAAGTGGACCTGGCCGAGATCCGACGGTTCGACAAAAAATGAGATTGACTTCATTATGACGACCAGATGCCAACTGTTCAGTGATGTCTCAGTGATCGCAAGGGTGAAAACTGGCAGCGATCACCGAATGGTTAGAGGCACACTGAACCTAAACGTTAAGTTGGAGAGGTCTCGTCTAATGAAGTCAACGCTCCGTCCCCCTCGTGCTCTAATCCAGAATCCCGAAACCTTTCAGCTCGAGTTACAAAACCGCTTTCAGTGCCTAGAGGATTGCAATGCAGTGGACGATATGAATGACAAGCTCGTGGAAACTGTCCATGCGGTCGGAGCTAAGTTCTGCAAGACCCGCCGCAGAAGAACACAAAAACTCTCCGATCATACTCTTAGTCTCATGGCTGTTGGACGGGAGATGAGGCTGCAATCGTCAACAGATTTGACAGCATGCAGGCAGCTGAACAGACAGATCTCCAAATGCATGCGGCGAGACTTACGCAACTTTAATACTGCTCGTATTAAAGAAGCGATCGAGCGGAACCAGGGCTCCAAAGTCTTTGCCAGAGATCTGTCTGCCAGAAGGAGCCAACTGTCAAGGCTGAAGACTGAGTGTGGCAACATCGTTTCCGGGACACCTGAGATTCTGAGTGAGATTGAGAGGTTCTATGGGCAGTTGTACACATCATCGTTGGAGCCACACGCAAGTGTGAGTAACGATCCAAGAGCAAGTCTTATCCGACACTATTCCGATGATATCCCGGACGTCAGTCTGAGCGAGATTAGAATGGCTCTCCACGGCCGCTGCACCTTAAAAACGGCAAGGCCCCGGGCGAGGATGGAATTACAGCGGAGCTTCTGAAAGCGGGTGGAACACCGGTACTTGAAGTCCTTCAGAAGCTCTTCAATTCCGTCCTCCATGGTGGCACTCCTCCGAAGGCGTGGAGCAGAAGCGCGGTGGTCTTGTTCTTTCAGAAAGGCGACAACGCTCTCTTGAAGAACTACAGACCGATTTCCCTTCTGAGCCGCGTCTACGTGCTGTTTTCGAGAGTCATTACGAATCGTCTCGCACGCAGACTCGACGACTTCCAGCCTCCCGAACAAGCCGGTTTCCGAAAAGGCTTCAGTACCATAGACCACATACATACCCTTCGGCAAATTGTACAGAAGCCCGAAGAGTACAATCTGCCACTTTGCCTGGCGTATGTGGACTATGAGAAAGCCTTTGATTCCGTCGAAATTTGGGCGGTGCTACAGTCTTTTCAGCAGTGCCTAGTTGACTGTCGGTATATTGAAGTGCTGAAGTGTTTGTACAGTAGGGCTACGATGGCTATCCGAGTACAGAACCAGAGTACGAAACCTATCCAACTGCAGAGAATTGTAAGACAGGGTGATGTTATATCCCCGATACTCACCGCTGCATTGGAAGACATTTTCAAGCTACTGGACTGGAAAGGATACGGTATTAACATCAATGGCGAGTACATCACTCACCTTCGATTTGCCGACGATATAGTCCTTATGGCAGAATCTCTGGAGGACCTTAGCACTATGCTCAATGACCTCAATGGTGTCTCCCAACGGATAGGTCTTAAGATGAACATGGACAAAACAAAGATCATGTTTAATGTCCATGTCACACCTATGCCGGTAATTGTTGGGAGCACTATGCTCGAAGTTGTTGACGAGTACGGTTACCTGGGACAAATAGTCCGACTAGGTAAGTCCAACTTCGATCGAGAGGTCAATCGTCGGATTCAACTCGGCTGGGCAGCGTTCGGGAAATTACGACACATCTTCTCATCAGGTATACCTCAATCTCTGAAAACTAAAGTGTACAACCAGTGCGTGTTGCCAGTGATGACTTACGGATCTGAGACGTGGTCCCTCACTGCTGGCCGTATGAGGACGCTCAAGGTCGCTCAGCGAGCTATGGAGAGGGCTATGCTCGGAGTTTCACTGCGTGATAGACTCAGAAATGAGGATATCCGCAGTGAAACCAGAGTGACCGACATAGCCCAACGGATTAGTAAGCTGAAGTGGCAATGGGCCGTCCATATAGCTCGAAGAACCGATAACCGATGGGGAAGAAAGGTTCTCGAGTGGCAGCCTCGTACCGGTAGGCGTAGTGTAGGGCGACCCCCCCTACACTACGCTTAATATATATTTATACTATATATAATTATACTTCTTTTTTAGATCGCTGGTGTTTACAGCCCGGGACGTTTATGCGTCCGCCCAGACTTGGTAGCACTCCTACTTATAGCATGACGCTATTTTACAGGAGCGACCAAACCATGGTTAAGATTTGCCTCCGATGGGCACCACAGAGGAAGGAATAAAAAATTCCATACCCTGTAGTACCACATCAACGACCGAAGCCGCAACAACGTCGGGATCATTCCGGCAAGAAGCAAACCCGCCCCCAAGGGTAGGATGCAAAGAAAGACTGCATCCTATCCCAATCGGCTGACCTATAGTGCCAAACACGGCGGCAGCCTGCTGAATGCAACTGCAATTTCAGCGTGAGTGGCACTACACTCCGGACAAGACAATGGTTCGAGGAGCCTAATGGGGCGTCGACGGAAATCTGATATCCGTCCGGGTGAGAGGTCAGCATAAGTTCAAAATTGAAAAATTGTAGCAGACAAACAAAAAATTGAATATATTTTTTGTTTGTCTGCTATAAATTCTCCAGTAAAAAAGAGTATTTTCTATGATTAACAAATTGTAGACATCCCAAAACCCAATTACAAATTTCAGTTTTAAAGGCGATGTTGATAATTTCGGCGAATATAAAAAAAGTGCCAAGAGTTTGATTTTGACTTAAAATCACCACCAGTTATATTTAAGCAAATTTGTTTCTGTGAGAAATGTATATATAACTAAACGTTTCGGGTGTATATATATATTTTTAATTCGCAACTTTTAAGCTAACTGAATTTTTCTGAATAAATAACTTTAAAAAAGTGTTGTTTTTTTTTTTTTAAATTGAATATGATCCGATTATGTCCCGTTTTGAGTCAAAAAATAAATGGTCACATTATGTATACCCCACTCCGCGCCTCTCTCTCCCTTTCACTTTTTCCCTATCTCTGACTCTCTCGTGCCATCCCCACCCATTCATATATGATAAAATGTAAAGAATAATAACATAAATGTACAGGAGTGACGACCTGGTAAGACATGCAGGAAGTCGATGGATGCAGGTGGCTCAGGACCGTGCTTTGTGGCATTACTTGGGGGAGGCCTATGTTCAGCAGTGGACATGTGAAGGGCTGTAATGATGATGATGATGATGAACTTAAGTACAAGGTATGCTACCCATGTCAGCATACTGGAGATTTCTACAATGTTGTTAATGAGGATTCTATGAACGAGGAAACCTACTCCATCTCGGGAAAAGCCGTCTCTCTCCCAAAAGTAGAGCAGATGGCCCGATTGCAGAAGATAATTGTGTCCTCTCCCTCTCTTTGGACTGCACTTAACCTTACAATATGCCATCTTATATTTTCCAGCTAAGCTTCCAGTTCGAAATGAAATCAGTTCCAATCGAATATGTCCGCCTTGTCGCAGAGTCCTTCCATTATCCGTCGCCAAGTTCAGTTTTTGGTGGTAACCTGTCCTCTACTGGAAAATCTTCGCACTCCTGCCCCACCATTGTCATGAACGCCATCATGGCCAGAAGTTATGAGGCGACCGGAAACTGGGGGCCGCGTTATTGTGGTGCTACTCATTGGAGGATTTGCCCTCAGTCGCTACGCTGGGCAAGCATGTTGGCGATCGTAGACACATCAAACCTGTGACGCTGCTGCCCATCACAGGTCTGGGCATTTTTGGTCGGACGCAACAAGGTTGGTTATGCCGCCAACCATCGGAAGCCTTAAGTTATCCTTTTTTATAAGGCATTTCTGTCTGTCGGTTCGTACGACATCCACGGGATGAAAAGAAGTGACAGTATTCTAGACCGGTACCACACAGGCAGCCGTGACTCTGTAACAGCGGCTTAAAATACTGTCAAGTAATAATTAAAATAAATATCGTCGAAGGTTAATTTAAATTACTCACTCAAAAGATCTGATTGTGGTAGCCATTTGTATATTTTTATGTTTTTTGATTTTATGTCTTTTTCATTACTATCCCATTTCCATATCACATTATAAGGAAGTTGTGAGAAAACACTTTCAAATATTTTAATTTTTTCTTGAGGTAATAAAGATGGTAGAACGTTGGTTCCAAAACTGAAGTAAATGACACCGTTTTGTGAAGTATCGAGATATTGCTGAAGATCCTGCAATACACATCATATCAGTAATATTTAAAAGTTTAAATAAAATTTTAATTCATGAAACTGTTAAGTACTTTTAACTTAGACTTATATTGCACCACTAACCTTATCCATTAATAGGAGCTAGATTGATAAAATGTGTACATATTTTGAATATAATCAAGTTAAACGTAAAAGAACGTGCGTTGTTCCACATCAGATAATAAAAAAATTTATCGCCAAATATTTAAAGAAATAAAAATATGTAGTACTCAACCAACGAGTTTTACTCGGAGTGAGAATCTTAGGAACATATATGTAATATCTAGATAATCTTGGAAATAAAATTTTCTGATTTCAAAATGTCGATGGCCAGGCCATACATGCATAAAACAGAAGTGTATTGTTTTTACTAAGTTGCGTTTGGACTAGAGTAATAAATTGCTAGATTTTTCAGAACGGGAAACTAATAAAAAAAACCCTGATTTTATTTTATTTCAGGTTGGAACTTATTCTTGTGTATGTGAATATTGATTGAAACTTTAATTCACTGTCTTTAAATGAGGACGACCCACAGTTTTCACCGCATAAACATTTTAATACATTTGCGTGTCAGGATAATCCTAACGGACAGTTCCCGAGCGACTAAAGGGACGGCCGCACAGGAGCACTCCGGCCGGGTCTCATCCCGCAGCGCACTGCCTGATTGCCCTACCTAAACGCCTTCGGTTACCGACTGTTATTAGTAGCACAGAATGAATACTAGTACTAAGTAGTAGTAGAGACTGTGGTAATACAACCATTTGACGTATTGTCAATAATTGAGTAATTTTAATATCTTTAAAATTTATTGAAGAACTTATTTTTATTTCTATTTTATAATATATTATGTTCTATTTAAAATTCCGTGTATATATATATATATATATATACAGTGTGTCCGGTCACGGACTAGCGATATTTTAGGTACTTATAATACAGCTATTTTAATATAAAAATACACTACACACTGAGGACTAATCCCCTCCCCTTCTATTTGGCAGCCATTTTGTTTTTCTCTTGAGATATTCTCTACGCGTTTACGAAAAAAGTCATATCTCTGATAAGTACCTAAAATATCGCTAGTCCGTGACCGGACACACTGTATATATGTGTGTATGTATATATATAAAATATATTGGTAAGCACAGTTTAAAAAAAGATCAAATTAAATTAGTAGGTGTATATGGGAGTGAAAAATCGTATCGAGCTAGGGCTCATTTCTAGGAAATTTCGATTCCTTTCTTGTATTCGTGCACATTTTCTTTACCTTTTTTGTTCTTTAATGTTCTGGCCCATATGATCTAAAGCTAGGCGAAAATAAATTACTATAGATTAACCTTTAAGTAGTGACGTGGGTGTCTCACAGACAGCCTCGATGCAAAAATCAGTCTCGTGGCGTTAATTTTTTAAAGACGCTCCCGTCCCTCCCGCTACCTTCGGGTATCGGTGGCGTGATCGGTCAGTCGAGTGCTCGCGCTCGTGGCAGCAACACTTGTACCTGTACGACCGTTTGTTGTCCCTGAGACGTGAGGTCAGTATTTGCGTAAATGATTTATTAGACGTCACTACAGTATTAGTGTATTTTTTTCTAAGTGTCTCTTATTCGTCACCTCACTGTGTACGTTATTATTTTAGATGGATCAACCTAGACCTTCAGGAAACAGTCGAAAGCGAAAACGAGTAACTCTAAATACTTCGACAAATGAAAAGACCTTAAGTCAGTGGATAGAGGCTGAGTTGGAGCGAGACTTCAGTGATGTGGACGATGAAGAAGTGGATCCAGATTTCTGTTTGCACAGTGATCATGACTCGGCTTCAGAACATTCTGAGGATGAAGAAACTCAATCTCAACGACAAAGATCACCCCGCAGTTCAGTTGCGATGCAAGATTCTGGTCTATCTTCAATACAAGATAATATACACATAGAATCCCAAAGATACTACATAGGTAAGAATGGTTTTTAAATGATGAAGCGATGAACCAGTGATGCGTAACTGTCGTTCCCTAAGCCACAACTTGGTTGACACACCTAGATCACAGCCTAGAGCGTTCACCAACCTAAAAACCTTGTGGAGACATTTTATGGATGACGATATTACTGACAAAATAATTGAATATAAGACTGACAATGAAACGGATTATTAGCGAAGATTTACCGCCAAAACCTAGCCGCATTGAGTCAGCTGTTGGTGAAAATGATAAAAAGACTAGTAAGGTGTGTCCAACAAGGCTGAACAAGGTACAAATGCGTTGCATGTCATAAGCCTATGTGCTTAGGCTGTTCCAAAATAATCTGCAGCGACTGTACTGACTGAGACTGAATTTAGAAGACTGATTCTGTGGTAGTTCCTATATTATATTAGTAATTAAGTTGAAGAAGTAAGAAATTTTATTTTTTGTTAAAAAATATGTCTGTTTGTTTATTTCATAACACTTAAGAAGTGCGTCTTTTATAGAATGTGATTTTTTTGTAAGTTTTGCCTAATGTCCTAATAAATGTTCATTAATGCTTAAATTGGGTTTAATTTTAGCCTATATCATTAAAAAGAGGGTTTTTATTTTGATTTTATACAAAAAAATGTCTAATTAATAATTAAGTTCATACTATTGACATAAATTGCGTAGACGTCTATAAAACGTCACATCACCATTTATGAGTCATCCAAATCACATCACTACTTAAAGGTTAATAAAATGTATCGGTGGCAGAATTATTTCTCATTTTAATAGCGATATTCTTTCCGAAACCTTAGTTGAAAATGATTAATAGTTACAATATTATTATAGGAAATCTTGTTTTTTCGATACAGAATCAAACTTTTTTACATATTATTTTAGTATTTAAAATAAATTTATACATATATTTATGTATGTATAGATAAACTATACGTTACACAATACAAGCTAATTTACACAACTAAACTAAAATTTATTCTGTGGCACTCAAAAGTTTAAACAAAACTCGTTAACCCATCCAAAATTGCTAGATTCCATAACAATAAAATATATACACGTTTTATATATATTTACTATATTTACACTTTCATATATACATACAAACAGGTCAAATAAAAAAAACGTATTAGAAATGAACTTGCCTTTGGTAGTTTCTTTGGTGGTGTTTGGTGTAATCCTCCCATATGTATGACGTTTGGTGGTACTGGATAATTTCCTTCAAAAATTGGGTTAATATTTAACAATAACAAATCAACATCATTTTTTAATACGCTTAGAGGTGGAGTGTCAGGACCAAATATACTTTTAATCAGTTTGTTGCAATTTTCTTCGTTGGAACTAAAAATGTATCGAAACCGAAAATATTTGTAAAGTTCAGTCACTTTTTCCCATAAATTTAAATTATATAATCTTTGACGATAATGGTCGTGGTATAATATGGGATGCGTTGGCGCTCCCATTATTTCATAATCGTCCATCATTGCTCCAAAAGAACTTACTAAAACTGTAGGTGCCTTAAAATGTTGTGTGAATCCCAGCATAGGTACGAAATATGATTCCAAAAGTATCAAATCGAACTGTCGTTTTTTATGGTATATAAGGTCTTGAACATCTTTCACACGCATTATTTGTTCAAATATGTCGTGAGCTATTTTAGCGAAGGCAGAAATTTGATTTATCAAATCATCCTCTTTTCCGGTAACAGAAAGAGACAAATCTTTCCAAATCTTGTATGACATATCATGGATGTCAATTTCTCTTAAATTTTTCGGAGCAGTGTCATTTTTAAATTGAGGATCTGTAGTTATCACTGTAACTTCGTGTCCTCGCTTAATTAACTCCATTGTTAGGGTCCGAAACACTACTTGATGACTTATTGAAGGACATGGATATACTCCCAAAATTCTTGCTGCTTCAATGCTAATATTTAGAGCACATAAGATTAAAAATAATTTTGTTATAAACATTTTACTATTTAGTTATAAAGTCGTTACGACAAATGATTAATTGTACACAAAATCAGTCTTATATATCAGTTTTTACATATAATTTCGTTATCAGACAAGTGATATAGTCGTCGCTAAGAGATATTGTGTAGTATTATATTGAAATTACTTTATTATAAAGTCAACTTTTACTTTTTGTTAGAAGTCTTATTTAATTACTCTTTTGAGTTGAATAGGGGGTATTATTAGCTCGAATATCTGTTCAAATTGTATAATTTGTTGATTTTATTCCATATTTTTGTACAAATAGAATGTTTTCTTCATATTGATACGATGCCATCCTACAGTACAGTATATTTAAAGAATATCATTAAAATCGGCTGACAATTGACGAAGATATCGAGTCCTATATTTACAAAAAACAACAAACAGTGGAATAAAGAACCTCCTTTATTGAAGTCGGCTAAAATTAGCTTCATTTTTATCATAGTAATAACCACATTTTATACAATTTCTATATTTCATTAAGGACTTAAGTGTACATATAGTAGCGGTGTAAGAATATCCACTACCCCATATTATACCGTGAGTGTCGTAAGAGGCGACAGAGGGAAACAAATCAGGAGATGGGAAGCAGATTATTTCTAATAACGACCAAAAAGAAAAAAACTATGGTTGCCAACCCACTTGCCAAGCGTCGTAACTATTGCAATCATCCTCACACTTTAATAGGCTAACGGTACACTTCAATAGGCTAACTGTACACTTTAATAGGGTAACGGTAAGGAATAGAAAAGTTTAAGGTCTTATAATTAGTTACATGAACAATATATATTTTTAAATTTTTATAGGTCGCACAGTACAGCACAGTGTAACAGCGGTTGACATGTATACAAATGTGTACGTATTGAATATACATATATAAGACTTATTACTATATAGTAATAACTTTTTTATGAATTGGTTAAAAATTATAAAAAGAAAAAAAAATACTAAAAAACTTAAATCATTCTCGATCTCAATCTGCGGAACCAGTTTTGTTTAAGTTGATATTTTTATATGTTGTGTAAAAATGATTGTGGTATAATTATTAGTTTGGAGTACTATTAACAATGACGTATTTTATCAAACCATTTTATCTTTATTAAAGCTTGTCTTCGCTATAGTTCATGCAAAATCGATTGAGAAAAACGGACGATGACCTCAGATATGAGCCGTATGTCAAAAGGCGTAACATACAAAATCTCAATTTAGATGTGATAACAATATTTAAATATTGATTATATATATATATATATATATATATATATATATATATATATATATATATATATATATATATTATTTTTCTCGTCAGGTATACCTCAAAATCTGAAAACTAAGCTGTACAAACAGTGCGTGTTGCCAGTGATTACCTGCGGAACAGAGACGTGGTCCTTCACTGTTGGCCGTATGAGGACGCTCAAAGTCGCTCAGCGAGCTATGGAGAGGGCTATTCTCCATAGCTCGCTGAGCGACTATAAACTTAGAAATGAGGATATCCGCAGTAGAACCAGAGTGACCGACATAGCCCAACGGATTAGTAAGCTGAAGTGGCAATGGGTCGGCCATATAGCTCTAAGAACCGACAACCGTTGTGGGGAAAAAAGGTTCTCGAGTGGCAGCCTCGTACCGGTAGGCGAAGTGTAAGATATGCAGGAAGTCGATGGATGCAGATGGCTCAGGACCGTGCTTTGTGGCATACTTTGGGGGAGGCCTATGTTCAGCAGTGGACTTGTGAAGGTCTGTAATATATATATATATATATATATATATATATATATATATATATATATATATATATATGAAATGAATGAAATGAATGAAATGAAATGAAAGTTTATTGTTTCCAACATTTTCTTAAAATTATTACGAGTTTGAGGACTTCTTTTAAGTATAAAGATACTTGTGGTAGAAGGCCCTCGCCCTCCCTTAACTAAGTATAATTAACATAGGAGAAACAGTGTGTGTGTGTGGTGTGTGTGTGTGTGTGTGTGTGTGTGTGTGTGTGTGTGTGTGTGTGTGTGTGTGTGTTATGTGTGTTTGTGTGGGTATGTACGTGTGTACGTATGAGAAAAAGACAGTGAGTGAATGCGTTTATAGGATAAATTCTAATAAGGCTTCAGTTTGATCGTAATTAAGTGTCTTAAGCCACTGCATTATTTTTTTTTCTTACAATCGTATGTCTTTAAAGGATATATTTGCAATATTTTATTAATTTGATTATATAATGGTTCTGATCGTTTTTCATATTGATTTTTCGCAAAGTTGGTTTTCGTACTGCATATAGGAACTACACTATAATTTCTTCTTTTACTATCGTAAGTAGGATTAAAAGACAAAGACTTATGTTTTTTTTAACAAAGTGAGTAATATGTACAACTGCCTCACCGAAATCACCCCACAAGATGAATACAAAATGCTATTGGGGAACCTATATGGCTTAAAATGTATAACTTTTAATAAACATCTTTGAGCTCTCTCAACTTCAATAAATATACTTTTATAAGTACCCCCCCAAATAGGTATACAATATATTATTATAGATTGAGCAAGCGCTACATAAATTTGATTTAAAAGGTCTGGACAAGCAACATATCTTAAAGTTTTAAATATCCAAGTGAGTTTTCGAATTCTACTAGACACTAATTCGACATGTTTGTACCAGGAAAGTCGTAGATACACCATAACGCCAAGATACTTTATGTATGAAACTTTTTGAATAGATGTATACGTACAGTTACCGCTGGAAGGATTGTAACATTTATGTATTTTAAGTCTAAAATCATCTTTTGGCTGTGATCGGCTAGTTATAGAAAAACATATGAATTGAGTTTTATTAACATTAAAAGTAAGTAAGTTATTATCAAGCCAACGAGCAACCCTAGCTAATTGTTTTTCCGCTATCAATTGAACTTCTTCCCAAGTGTCTCCCCCAAAATAATATCGCAGTGTCATCTGCGTATGAGAAAACTCTTCCTCTATTCACACTCATACTACACAGATTATTAATATATACTAGGAATAACGTAGGGCCGAACACGCTTCCCTGCGGTACACCATAATTAACATTTGTATAGCTACTACTGTATTGATCTATTCTTACAATCTGTGTCCTATCAGAGAGGTAATCATTTAAAAGTTTTAGAATATACCTCTGATACCAATCTGTTCTAATTTATTAACAAGAATGGGGATTGATACAGTATCAAAGGCCTTTTTGAGATGCCAGGAAGACAGCAAGACATTTTTTGCCGCTATCCAAGTATATATATATATATATATATATATATATATATATATATATATATATATATATTATTCGCTCTTCTAGATCAGCACATATGTTAATATAATCACCAAATTGAGCTTTTGCAAATTCATCCATTTAAAATAAACAAAACGCGCGTTACGTCAGTTCGTTCTAAAAGAAACGTGACAATGGCAGACAGAGATGCGTCACTTTTTTGGGCCGGCTCACAAACACTAAATAAAAATAAAGTTCTTACATAATATTGAAAATAAAGTTTTATCTTTTGAATAAGTACGTACTCATTCGGAGTCGTTATCACTGGAATCTTTATTTGTGTTATAAACAAATGCTTTTTGTTGTTAAATGAATAAAGTACTTTATAATAATAGATGATTTTTCTTCGATAGCGACCTTTTATATAACTTTTTAATAATAGTTAATAAATATATATCATATAAATCATTATAAAAAATCATTATAAATAAAGAAAGTACTACATATAAAAAGCCTATATATTGAATGTTTGTAGCCCCTGGTTAAACGACCGAAAGTCAATGTCCGTTTTTCTCAATTGATTTGGCACGAACTATAGGAACAGCTGGTTTTGATAAAACACTCTTATCCACACAAGCGCCAAACCGGCGCTGCCAATTTTCGGATAACCTCCAACGATCACGCGGCTAGTGAACCGTTTTTGACCACTTCCGACCTTGGTGATAAAAGCTAAACGAATATTTGTGCGCACCGTACGCAATTCTAATGTACTGCCAACAAGTTTTGCAGTTTTTTCCAACCACTGGTGTAGTTAGAAAAAACTAGTAGTAACGGTATAATGATATTCATTGCTCTTGCTCCTCGCGCCTGCTTTTTGGCAGCGGAAGAAGAAAATAAAATTCGAAGAAAAAAGATTCTGGATTCATAATATCAATTCAAAAATGTAGTTGTATTAGAGAATGTTATATTTTATTTAAAGACTTCTTAGAATACGATGAACGATTTTTTAGATATTTACATTTAACATACAAGAAATTTCTAAAATTGTTACATATACTAAAACTTTATCTCTCTATGGAAAACTAGAAGGCCAATTGAACTAGAGGAAAGACTTTTGTATGATTTAGGTACTTTTTGATAATGAAGTAATCAGAACCACGCTGCAGCTATATTATAGTTGTAGCATAAATGGGGCGGATCAACCGGGGCAGAATCACGCTCTCACAGAATAGCAGCATAAAATATCAGTGTAATGCTGCTGTGTTTCCAATGGTGAGTGTAGAGAGGAGATCCTTTTTACTGGAATCGAGGCATTCCATTCTTAGTCTTCATGGGACGACGCATTTGCATTTTGATTCTTAATTAAGGAAAAGAATATTGATTAAATGTGGATTTCTCTGGAAAAATTAAAATTAATTATAAGTTATTCAGTTTTGTGTGTTAACCAATTGTTTCCTACACAGTAAAAGTAAATACTCCTGAAATGCAGTAAAATATATTTCGAAACGAAAGTTGAAATTACCAGTTTTAATAGAGAATCTACTAATTTGATGACGTCATCAGCATGCGCTCGTCAATATTCGGATACCTAACGCATTTCGTAAAATGATGC